GGCTTTAATCAGGCCACAATGTCAAAGGATTATTTTAGGATCTGACAGAAACGCCTCCTCTCTGGATGAACCGGGATGAAAGACAGAGTGTCCAACATCAGAGACAGAAAATGAGTTCATTACTGTAATTAGGCCTCAGTGTGTCTCCCATCCATCTTGTCTTCTCCGTCCCTTGTACACCAGGCCTCGTGTCTTAAACACCCTTAATGGCAGCACATTACTCCAGTTAGCAAAGGCCTGTTGGTAACACAGACCTCCCATCCTCCATCTGTTGCCTCTGATGTGCAGTCACAAAGAACAGAAAACAGCCTCCTCCTTCAGAAGCAGGAACGTTGCTGACCGAGCAGGTTGTGTCACTCTCCATTGGTTGAAGGATCTGGGAGTTGCATGTGAATGAATGAGACGTGCGACAATTGGCTTCATTAATCATTTTTGGTGGGGAAAGTGTCTAATCGAGGAAAGGAAAGGGAAACGCAGACCACCGTGCTCACTGGCCTGTCCTGTCCAGTCTTTGACATAAATTATAGGTCATTTAACCCCGCTTTGACCCCATGCAGCAACAGAAACAATCTGGTCTCCTGTTTCTGTTTGCTGTCTTGAATAAGAATTTACTTCAGCTGGGAAAGGGACTGGAGGTAAAACTCAGATTGTTGACATGCGTTTCTGTTGGGATTTTATTGCGCTTCTCATGCACTTAAACTCCTTTTTTATGAATGACGATGAAAGGCCAACGTAATGCTGATCTTTGTTCCTCTTGTTCTCAGCTGTTTGTTAAAGCATCTGTTGGAGAGTCACCGTTGCCACAACTAGTTGTGCAGATGTCACATTTAGCTCTTTCTTGTCCTAGTTCTGTGTGAAAGGACAATGTGTAGTCAATAGTTGACATTTGGTCAGCAGAATGCTGTGGTCACTTCTGCTCCTCGCCTGACTTGGACTTTAGTTGACCAGAAAAATCAAATGTAAGTTAGAGATGTCAGACTGTACCATTTCAAAACCGTCTGTACAAACACAAGCATTGCCTGCAAGGATGACTTGTCTAGTTCTCACAACTTTGCAGCCACTCATTCCATGTTTCTTATTATTGCGCACTGCTGACAGACTTGTCTACATGTGTGTGTGCTTGTGGGTCTGTCTTTTAGCCAAATATCTCATTAGCTACTGGACACATTTCATAGAAACTTGCATGAAATAATCATTGACTTATACCTCTAGAAATTGATCAACTTTTGGAGTGAACCTGATTCAAGATGGCTTTTGTTCAGTCAGTTCTAAAAATTGTTGTTAGACGCTGAGAGTCCTTCACAACACATACTGTTAATGTGACGTCACCCGGCAGTGATTCATATCCACCTTATTCCTCGCCCTCATGCTGCCATGTGTGAATTGTGAACGCAACTTCCGGTGCGGACCAAAACTGGCGTTTGTTTATGTGAGAAGAGTATGAGCTAATGTAGTTTCTCCAATCATTATGGATTTGCTGTATTCATTCATACCTATCTGCTCACCACAGACTCATGTTTGGGCTGCTGCTGTTACGCCGTAATGTTTTGCACTATTGGTGTTTAGCGTATATCTTAGATCTGTTAGCGTACCGTTTGGCGTGTTTAGCGTATATCTTGGTGTATATGTCGGCTGCCGAGCGGTGCTATTTTTATTTTAGTCAGACAGAAAATAAATTAAACTATTATCAGCAATACCACCTAGTTAAACTAGGAATAAAATTAGGTCACTTATCACAGGGGTGAGCAGTGTTTCACAAAACAGATGGTAGAGGTTTACAATAATTTATTACAACTGGAAAACGCTGCAGCAGCAGTCTACATGTTATAAACCAGCCAAATTCTGTCTAATAAAAGTATAAAAAGGGCATCATGGTCAGTAGCTGTCTGAGGGGAAAAGAAACAGAGTCTTAGCTGAAAGGGGCATGGTCATCTCACCCTCAAACGGCACTCCCAGGCGGTCCCGAGTCTTGACCCTCAGTCATCTCTCAGCACTTTATCCAGAGTCCATCGTCCCTCCATGGCCTCGACCTCACCCAGCACTCGTTCCTTCTTGAGTCCAGCATCCCATGGCAACCTTGACCTCCAGCGATCTCTGCAATGCTTGGTCCTCCGCCCTCGACACCGGACCCGGACCACTGCACCCTCCAACCGGGCACGATCCACCGTGCCGACCTGCTTAGCTGTTTTCTTGTGTTCGTCCTTACCCCTGCTAGTCTCTGCTCTTTATCATCGTGCCTTCAGTTTCTGCCAACCTGCTGCTCTGCTGACCAGCTTGTCCCCGGCTGTTGCCCCTCGGCGATGGTTGCACACCCAGCCATTGCGATCCCCAGCCGCCACCCCTTCAGCTCTTCGGCCGTTACTGCGCGTGTCTGCTGTTGCGCATCTGGTTGCATCTCTGCTGTTTCTTTGCGTGCTTCTGCTTATTGTTCTGCTCTTTATTTCCCCATTCCTGGCTTCCATGTCATTACAGCTGATGGGGAACACCTGCACAAGCTGTCAGTGTCTCTGGCTGCGTGATGGGTGGCTGCCTCAAAAAAAATGAACAGATGATCAGCAAGTTTAAACATGCAAATAAAAAAAACAAAGCCACAGTTACTACATATATCTTCTCAGGGTATAAGCTGTTCCTCAGTTCAGTGCTTTTACACTTAATGCTCCTCAACCTCCTTCCTGAGGGGAGTGGGGCAAAAAGTGTGTGTGCTGGGTGAGTGCGGTCCTTCATGATGCAGGTGGCCCTCTTCCTGCATCTAGAGGTGTAGATGTCTGTGATGGTGGGGAGGCTGACTCCGACAGTCTTCTGTGCAGCCTTCACCACTCTCTGCAAAGCTTTTCTTTCTGCAGCTGTGCAGCCTCCATGCCACACGTTGATGCTGGAGCACAGGATGCTCTCCACTGCACACCTGTAGAAGGAGGTGAGGAATGAGCTTCCCAGACCAGCTCGTCTCAGCCGTCTGAGGAAGTAGAGTCTCTGATGAGCTTTCTTGATCAG